CTCACGCCACCATTCAGCCAATGAACGCTCAGCACCGTGGGTGTTTGCAAATATCGCTCAAAGGAAAGGAAAAAAATATCTTCCTTTATCAATCGAGATTTCCGCCAGCGTCAAGTGGGTGGTTAACTGGACGTATTCGCATTCTGTATCCAATTATCCATCCCGGTATTAAACTTTTATCATGTTCAAGTCTGGACAATAAAACAGGTGGTCTCTTTTCAAAAAACAAACGAAAGATAGTTAATGGTTTATTCTTTTCCTTTCTATTTTCCATTCCTTTCTTTTTTTCTTTGGCGGTGGTCTTCAGCTGATGTCTTTCTCGGTCAATATATGATTACAATTATTTCCCAGTTTCTGTTTCGTAGGGGCCACTTGACCAATTTGAAATTTTCATTATTGCCATGGGCTATCTCTTATTGGCCGCCTCGTAACATAAATTAATTCGACAGATCCGAGATCTTACGAATTTCCTATCTTCGGCAAAAGAAAAACATACTTTTTCTTTTCGCAAAGGAAAATAAAACCTTTACCAATTTTGTTAAAAAAAAAACAAACATCGCTCAGTATGTCTTTTCGTGATAGATTCTTATCACCTTAATTATTTCAGCTTCTCGCCTTAATTATTTCTCGCTTTTAATTATTTCTCGCTTTCAATCTTCACGAAATAGTGTCACAATAGTTCGTTGTTCGAGATTGTTATATGCCGTAGCTATGAACACTACGTCACAGTTTTCATAAATACGTTGTACACTATTGTAAGTAGTGGGTAATACGCTAAGTAGTGCACCAATAGCAGTGGTTTACCTATTTCACGCCGTTGGCGAGTATTGTATTTTGTTGATGTTATAAAGATTACCATTTCATTTCCAATCTCCGTTTTAGTTATTCCTCATTCAGTAACCATTTCTAGGTTACAACAGATAGATAAATAGATAGACAGATAGACCCTGAACTGAGATAGTGTTATATACCTTACCTATGAACAATAATGGGTATATCCCAATCTTCATAAATACATTGGACGCTATTGTAAATGGGTTTAATAGTGATTTTCCAAGCGTAGCTTAGATGTGGCACAAGGCCGAAAGTATGGGTGAGGATCGAACTCACTACTCAGTCGTAATTGTTCTAGCGAGACAAGCTTGCTAACCATTACACCGCCTCGAGGTGCAAGTGGGTTTAATATGCTAAGTCGTTCACCACTAGCAGTGGTTTACCTATTTCACGCCGCTGGCGAGTATTGTACTTTGCTGATACTATAAAGATTAATATTTCATTTGCAATCACCTCTTTGATTATTTCTCATCCAGTAACCTTTTCTAGGTTGCAACAGTGTGATCGTGTAGTGTCAGTCCACATGACTTGAAGAGGAATGTTTCTCACTGAGATCAAAAGGTTTAAAAAGTCATTTTTAACCAACCAGCTGAGAAAAGCGATTGTATACAACTAAAAGTTTAGATATTTCAGGACGACTTTTGCAGCATGTACGACATTCATATAAAGTCACGAGTCTATTTAAGAACAACACTGGAGTTTTGGGGTCAATGTTTAATTTTATAGCAATTTATAGTTTTGGTTAAAACAATCCCTGTCGTAAACTATTCTGTGTTTGATTTCCTTAGGTCCTATGCTATATATGTTGTAACTGATCCTAACGCTGAGGTATCCGAACAGTTTCGTATTTACTAAATCAAGATCCAATTTTTGTTTGATGGATTCAGAGTATGTGCCATTACCGCTTTCATTCCAGTTTCAGATCACAGGTTTTTTTTTTGGAATGGTATTTGATGAGTACTATTTCATACATATTTTCGTATATAAACAATTTCTGGTTTCAGCGGACAGATTTAAAAGCGAACAACACCCGAGTCTAATATGTATTCATATATATCTATCTCTATACACACACACACACACACACACACATACACACAAATATATATATATATATATATATATATATATATACACTTAAAATACCATAGGTAATATTCTTCATATCATGAAAGCTAAGAGAATAACCTAAAAAGAGAAGGATAGATTCAAAATTAATTAATTTTGAAACTTTCCTTCTCTCTCTCTTTCTCTCTGTCTCTCTCTGTCTTTCCCTCAATACAATATCTGTATATCTTGAATTTAACCTGGACTAAATTTTCCGTTTATATTTAGTTTGAATGATTGAAGGCTTTTTTTTATAGCTTTCATGAAGGAAAGATTATTACCTATGATATTTTAAGTGATTTATATTCATTAATTAATAATTTTGCTCTGATTCAGACATAAAGCTCTCCTTGGATCTTTATCCTCTTGGAAATTTATTATTTCTTACACACACACACACACACACACACACACACATATATATATATATATATATATATATATATATATATATATATATATATATATATATATAATATTGAGCACTTCATCCGATAAATATACCACACCTTAAAACAATATTTCTACAGATATACATACATATATATATATATATATATATATATATATATATATATATTGGAAGTAACATTTCTTTCAAACATCTTTCATTAAATAAGATCGAAATTTCATTAAATGCGACTTATCGATTTCTAAGAGTAAGGGAGTACAAAAATATTCCATAATTTTAATTGTCCCAAGCGCTTTCGGCCTTTTCTGTCGCTATTTTCAAGGCTGTTTCTGGTTTCATTGGATAAATTTCAACGTCAATAGCCACCGTAGGCTCTACGATACCAAATATATAATTTAACTTGATTTTGAAAGTAACTTATATTTGATAAGTAAGTTGTCTAGAGAAATTAAACCCAATCACCCCTTATCAGCATGATGAAATTTTCCGTAACCTAAACAACTTAAAATATTAAGATTGTCTTGCTTAAAAATGAAGTAAATTTCTTAATAGGTTATTCCAAAAAATCGCTTGAGAATGAAAAGGAGTCATGGATTTAAATTTAATTTTATAATTAAATTTAAAATTTTGGTTTCCTGTGTAGCGATGGAACAATATTTTTAAAATAGAAAATAATTATATTATAGTACATATCTATCTATCTATCTATCTATCTATCTATCTATATATATATATATATATATATATATATATATATATATATTAGGTTGGTGCAAAAATAATGACGTAATCATGTCGTTTTTTTTGACGTATTTTTTAACGTCAAAAACGACATTATGTTCCCTTTGCTGGGAATAAGGGTGTATATTTAAGTAGCCAAACAGGAAAAGAAATTAACAAAACTTAACAACTACCCACCGTTGAAAATGGCTAAAGGTTTCGAGAGTGCTGGGCCCAATAGATGCTACTGACAATTTTGAAACCTGCCTTACACTAATCAACTGGAAAATGTAAGAATATTAGAAAAAACAAATAAAAAAAAATAATCAAATTTTTCTTGTCTGTCATATTCAACGAAGCATTATTTACATTACTCGGACTATTGTATTGTATTTGTTGCCATATTTATCACATCGTTTTCATCTCCGGCTCTTTAAGGACACATGGCACAGTGCGTAAAGGCGTTGGTTCGATCAAGTGAAAGGACCCAAAGAGTTACGAGTTCAATACCTGGTTAAGGTGGTGGAGAACTTGGAGAGGGGAATTAACAGGAGATAGCTGGCATTTTTTAGACATGTCATGTGGAACTACAACAGTCTACCCCAGCAAGCGAAATAAAGGATTCAGTTCGACATTCCAACCACCTGGAGAAGGCGGGAGCGTACAACGGCCGAAACGTTGTGATAAATATGGCAACAAAGATGAGGACAATAGCCCGAATAATGTAAATAATGTACATAATACCTCATCTCAGAAATATAGACAGATACTGATAGGCCGAAACGTTGTAATAAATATGGCGACAAAGATGAGGACAATATTTCGAATAATATAAATGTTGTACATAATACCTCATCTCAGAAATATAGACAGATACTGAAAGGCCGAAACGTTGTAATAAATATGGCGACAAAGATGAGGACAATATTTCGAATAATATAAATGTTGTACATAATACCTCATCTCAGAAATATAGACAGATACTGAAAGGCCGAAACGTTGTAATAAATATGGCGACAAAGATGAGGACAATAGTCCGAATATTGTAAATAGTGTACATAATACCTCATTTCAGAAATATAGACAGATACTGAAGGGTCGAAACATTGTAATAAATATGGCGACAAAGATGAGGGCAATAGTCCGAATGATGTAAATAGTGTACATATAACCTCATCTCAGAAATATAGACAGATACTCAACGAAGCATGTTTGAAAGAAATGGTACTACCGAAATACACATGATATATTTATATGTGTATGCATTCGTAGTTTTAGAGTGTTCTTAAGCTTGTTGTTCAACTCTTAGATTTTCCTTCCCGGTTACTGAATAAGAAATAAACCTTACAACGAATGGTTTGCGAAAACATCTCTCTTAATGTTCTATCTGGTCTCATCATACGATTTGTTGTTTTGCAAATATACTTTTTAAAATTTAGGGTTTTTTTTAGAGTATTTTTTCTCTCGTCATGTCGACTTAATGGCTTTAATATTGAAATTCAATACTTCATCCTTTCTTTTAAAAATAGATTTATCATTGCAAGTTCTCCACGAGAGCTAAAATTGGTCTGTTTTCGGTTTTCTTTTGTCTTTTGGTTTTTAGTTTAAGAGATGTGTTTATTGTGAATTCAATCGAATCTTCATTTTATTTTTAATCATCCGGTAAAATAATCGAAATATAGGTAAGTTAAGAAATATTATCGAGACATTTTCTGGGTGGTGGTAGAGTTTTGTTTCGCGATTAATAAAAAGAATTTCCTTGGCGTAAAATTTTATCTTTTGATTGATATCAGAATTTTTTTATATCTATTTTAAATTTGTGGAGAGGTATGATTTATATCTGTTCAAGATTGTAAAAAATTACAAGAACAAACAAAGAAGGAATCTTCATATTAGCTTTCGTTTCATTTCAAATGAAAAAGTTTCAATGGTGAAGTCTTGTCTTGAATATGATTTGAAATCAAGTCAGAAAAATGTTATTAGATCTCGAATTGTTTTTATCTCCATTTTATCTATCAATCATCTTTCCCTTCCTCTTTTTACCCCTCCTCTCATTCTGAACTTGCTTTCTCCAAAACTTTGTATTTATCTATGTTCTATATCTATCCAGCTTATCTGTTGTAGTTTAATCCGAATTGTATTTCTTTCCTTAATATTTTTACATTTTTTTTATTAATGTTTACCCATTTATACATTTAACAAAACTTACCAAGTAGAAGGCTCAAGAACAACTCAAGGTAGAGGGTTACAGCTGAAACAAAAAATGATAAATAAGACGCGAGATATAATGGAAAGGGGTGGTAGAAAGTGTAGATTGTGAGGATAAGGAGGATAGAAAACGGCTAACTATTATTTTAAAGTGGTCAATATAAGTGAAGTAACCTCTGAGCAGTCTGTTCCACAAATTTGATTGTTGGGTGACGTTTGTTTCGCGATTAATAAAACAATTTACTTGGCACAAAATTCTTCTAACTCACTTCCCAAAGAATTTTGTATTCTCTTTCTTTCACATTTCCTTTTTTCTCATTCTTTCACATTTCCTGTTTTCTCTTTCTTTTACATTTCCACTTTTCTCTTTTTAAAATTTCCTCCTTTCTCCTTCTTTAATATTTCCTGTTTTCTCTTTTTTCCCATTTCCCGTTTTTTCACATTTCCTCTTTTCTCTTTATTTCCCATTTTCTATTTCCCTTTCTTTCACATTTCTTCTTTTCACTTTCTTTCAAATTTCCTCTTTTCACTTTCTTTCCCATTTCCTATTTTTTAACATTTCTTCTTTTCCTTTCTTTCACATTTTCTAGTTTCCCTTTCTTTCACATTTCCTCTTTTTTCACATTTCCTCTTTTCTCTTTCGTTTACATTTTTTATTTTCCCTTTCTTTCACAGTTCCTCTTTTCTCTTTCTTTCACATTTCCTCTTTTCTCTTTCTTTCACATTTCCTCTTTTCTCTTTCTTTAACATTTCCTCTTTTCACTTTCTTTCACATTTCCTCTTTTCTCTTTCTTTCACATTTCCTATTTTTTAACATTTCTTCTTTTCTCTTTCTTTTACATTTTCTATTTTCCCTTTCTTTCACAGTTCCTCTTTTCTCTTTCTTTCACATTTCATCATTTCTCTTTCTTTCACATTTTCTATTTTCTCTTTCTTTCAGATTTTTTATTTTCCCCTTCTTTCACATTTCCAGTTTTCTCTTTCTTTAACATTTTCTCGTTTATTTTTCTTTCATTTCCTCTTTTTTCTTTCCTTCCCATTTTCTTTTTTTTAATATTTCTTCTTTTCTCTTTTTTTCACATTTCCTCTTTTTTCCATTTCCCTTTTTTTCACATTTCCTCTTTTCTCTTCCTTTCACACACACACGCATATATATATATAATAATTCATCGAGTCTGGAAGAAACCTCAACAGAAAGCACTGGACGGCCGTTTCGTCCTATATTTCGGACTCATCAGCAGTGCGCATCCACTACCGAGAATTGAAACCCTGACAGTTAGGTTGTCAAGCAAACGTCATACCAACTGTTCCAATGGGCCTTGGTGACGAAGAGGTAGCAAATCAGACTCAATATAGCGCCGCTCGATCCCATATTCCATGGTGGAACTCAACTGAAATTCTCTACAACCATAGGACTCTGTCCCCAGGAGCCATGGCTACTATCCCTAAGCCGCTCAAACTTGAGCATTAGAAGAAATGATATAGACGTGATAGAAATTATTAGGAGGATTTGTATATATATATATATATATATATATATATATATATATATATATATATTCTTTCTGCCCATGAGATCCAGGTTCGAAGGACTGGAGGGGGCGATTCCAGCGTGCGGCACATTTGGAAAGTGCCTGAAAACAATACCATGGGTTGATTCAAATTGGGTGGACGAAACACTTTGAGACCGTTGATAGATGTGCTAGCACGAAATCACATGTCATCGTGACCGAGGGTTTCAGGTTATTGATCACGCTAGATATCAGGCTTTCCCCCAAAAAACTGTGATTATGAGTATAAGCTACAAGTGAGCTCTGTGAGTGTTGAACAAAAAAAATGTTCCTGAGCGAGCGTCTGCAATCGGGATTTGTTAGCCACCCTAATAGACGGGTATCCTCGAATACGAGAGGCCTGCTACACCCACACACACACACACACACACACACACACGTATATATATATATATATATATATATATATCGAGAGACTGACAGACAAACACACACAGAGAGAGAGAGAGAGAGAGAGAGAGAGACGAACACACACACACACACAAAAGAGATGGAATGAGATATAGATGACGGCAATAGAATAAGCGATATCGTATGGATAGATAGAACATTTGGATAGTGTATCCATTCTTTCTGTATAGAAAAAAGATCGCGTGTACAAATGCAAGCATAATTAAATAAAAAATTAATCACATGAACTTTTCAGTCGTATTTAATGAAACTTGTATAAATGAGAGATTGCAGCAAAAATGTATGTACGTATGTGTGTGTATGCGTGTATAGGTACAAATAAGTTTACGAATTCCTCGTAGTAAGACAGTATATGTATGGAGGGGAAATATACGCACGCATATATACACGCATGCTGACAGGAACACACCAAAATGGAAACAGATCCAAGAGCACATAGGGGTCACTAAAACATTAAAAGATAAAATGCCGATAACTACTCGCTGGACCAACCTTAATTGTTTTATGACCCTTAGCGCAGAACTCTTCATTGACAATTCTAGGAAGAAATTTGGATTACCAACACACAAACAGAGTATGTCTCATATCGAGAATATCTCACATTGAACATGAAGAAAAATTAATTATTTTTAATAATATGTAGAAATCTCCACTTTTACCTGAAGACGGTCGCGAGACCAGAAACACGTGTCGTAAAATTATGTAAAACAAAGCATAATTTTTTTTTCTAAATAAATCCACATTACAACCAAAAAACGTTAGCGGCACCTCTCTTCTCTTCTTTTTAATATACATACTTTTCTCTCGTTGGAAACCAACATATTTCATATATATATATATATATATATATATATATATATATATATATATATGTGTGTGTGTGTGTGTGTGTGTGTGTGTGTGTGTGTATATATATATATGAAGAGCTGCGATACAGCTAAACAGTCTGTGAATGACTATATATATATATATATATATATATATAGAGAGAGAGAGAGAGAGAGAGAGAGAGAGAGAGAACGAGAACGAGATAGAGAAAGAGTGAGTTCTTTCTCCTTAAGCATTCATTTTGGCAAGTTTTATTAAATAAGCCGACATAGTCCATGCATTTCATTATTTATTGTTTTTTTTCCAAGTTTCGAAAAAAAAAATTGCACACGCGGATCAAAACTGAACAATGCATAATTGGAAATATACAAATAACCCTGAAAGGTCACATCGTGCCGATTGAATTAAAAATAAATAAATCTCATTGCACAACACACACACACACACACACACACACACACACACACACACACACACACGTTTGTACATATATATATATATATGTGCGTATATATACATATATATATATTCGTTTGTACATATATATATATATATATATATATATATATATATATATATATATATATATATATATATGGTCCGGTGGAAAAATTGTCATCTAAATGACTCAAAACTGAAAATGACACTGACATCTTATTTTAAAAGGTATATTTACTAAAATTACACAAACATATCTTGAAATGCTGAAAAGTAAATTTATCATTCATTGCCTTCAATCACGGCATCCAAAAGACTTCGGAATCTCCTGCATCTTTTGTGGACGATCTCCTCGTTTAAATTGGTGATTGCTGCGATAATTCTTGCTTTCAGTTCATGTTTGTTGTTACAAGGAGTTTTGTTAGTCTTACGCTCAACTGCGCCTTTTCTCTTCCTCGTCCTCTCTTTTGAATTCTCTGCCCCCGGGCGGAGAGAAACCAGTCGAGGCTATACCGAAGAGCAGAGTCTCGTACAGAACGATAGACAAACCCGACCCCGTATATACGGGGTCTACGGACAATTTCTCACCGAGCGTACGGTCTCGGAACGCGCCACGTTAAAAAATGGCCTTGCACCACATTTTGTCTTCTAGGCAGGTTGGTAAATAGAGAGGTAGACACGCATGCACGTCGTATCGTTTCGTTGGGTGGTTTTCTATTGACCAACTGCGAGGACCATTATTTGGACATCTAACGTTAAATTAACGACCCAAACAGAGCTAAACAGTATAGAAAACCGCATCAACCCCCTGAAATAGTTCCTAACGATTCAGAAGTTTGATGATGAAGATGTGGAAGACCCTTGAAACTTTCCACATGCTAAGCTGGTCCTTACTGTCATCCGGACTGGCTCAGGGTCCCGGCAGATTTGGGTGATGGTGGAGGAAGCCAATAGAAGATTTGGCATTGGCAATCATTGAGAACCAGGAAACGAAGAGACTGTTTACCCTTCCCTATGTAGAGCAGTTAAATTAACTTTTCCGTGAGATATCGAGTCTCGCGATTGACGGTCACATTAAGACTAAAATGGGCCTGTAGTCACTAGGCGAGGCCGTCGCTATCCTCATCCCGACAATGTTTAAGGCAGACGGCTAACCCTAGTTTGAATGTCCTGGGGCTGAGGTCAGTCTCGCGGGGCGAGACTCGAAAGTGGCTTTCAGCTCCTCGGAGTGCTGTACAAGAGACTCGTTTCCATTCTGACGACTATGATTTTATACAGACGAAGGAGGTTTGACCGCTTCCCTGCGCATCATGATAGTCTTTGAAGAACAGTTTCTTGCCGTTTCTTGAATGCTGCATGTACGCTTGTCTTCGAGGTTCTGGAGGGCAGGTTTTGTGTCGAGGATGTTACCATAAAAGATCAGGCATTTCGTCTCATTCGGGTTTATGCTCGCAACGACTACAGGGAGCAGGATGCCTTTCTTCGGCTGATCGATCCGTTTCTGACGAAATGTCATCGGTTAATTTTAGCGGCTGTCTGGAATGCCGATATTGATCCCGATATAGATCACACGGGGGACTAGATTGGATACTAACAACCCGGATGTAAATCCGTTTTGGGATTTTATCGACAGCCTGTCGATAAATTCATGAATGTGTATCTTCCGGAGGTAGTGTGGACTTGCACTAATAGGGATAGCTTGTCTTCGATGTTGCGTACAAGCTACATTGACCGAGTCTTAGGAGAATCGATAGTTTATTCGTACCATAGGCTTGTCCGGGTTCGTTTAAACTTAGATAAGTCTAGGATTAATTAGCATAACTGGCTACTGGAAATTCAACACATAGCTCTGTGGTTGGGAATAAGTGTTAGGCTCACCTTACGGGTACCATTAGGTCGTTTGCTGATGATTATAGTAAGCGACTCAACCAAGATAGATTAATAGAGGAAACGGCACAAGAATCTAGAGTAGAAAGGGCTATAAAATCGGGAGATAGTGGGGAAATAATTGCGTGTAGGGCTGAGTTTGCCTCCTTGCTTATCAAGAAGGATTCAAGCTCTGATAGAGCTAAATTAAAACGGATGTCTTCCGAGGCAACAAATATGGATGCCGAATCGCGAGCTAAAGAAGTTCGGAGCATCGCAGATCGATATATCGATGCGCGTACCGTGACTACAAACGAAGGCATATGTGAGGCTTTCCGATCTTATTTTCAGGATCTTTTTTCACCAGGGAGCCCGGTCTGAGCCCGACACCTATTTGTTTGACTTTCCTCACCGCGAGGCGACTGAAGCGGCTGGGTGCGAAGGTCCGATAACAGAGGAGGAAATCTGGGACGTGTTGAAGCATGTCGGTCGAGACAAGACTCCACGTATCGATGGAATCCTCTAGGAAGTGTATTTGAGGTAGTCGCACGTGTTTGTCCCACTGCTGGGACTGGTCTTTAACCAATCGATCAAGAACGTGAGTATTCCCTAGCGCTTCACCAGAGATGTGATCAAGTTGCTTCGCAAGAAGCAACTCGGAGGGTATGGGATTAATATTTTCCGGCCCTTAAATAGGTTGAATACAGAGTTAAATATTTTGACCAACGTCTTAGCCAACCGTTTGCACACTGACCTGACAGTCTGATTGGCCCCGAGCAGACTTGCGCTGTGAAGGTTCAGACTATTCAGGACAACCTTCATCTGATACGCTTGATCGAAGAACAAGTTGAGAGTGAAGCCTGGACTTATCTAAA